TTTTTCTTTTATGTCACAACTGTCCAAATATTTATTGTTAGATAGTATATTTTCACATGGATTTCATACCACTCGTATTTTCTGACTTCATCTCGCACCCAACAACAATTCGAATACTATGACTAAAGATGGAATTTTTCCACCGGCAGTATTATTTCAGAAGGACATAATAAAAAAAATCTTTCCTATCATATAATAATAAACCAATCAGTATTACTCTTGAAATTTATTACTCAAATTACTAATTGTGCTTCAGAGACATCGCACTATCGTGAGATCCTGTACTTGAAAGTGAAGTGGCACGTATCTGAAGGACAGAACCCGAGACCTATAAATTCGAAGACAAGTAACAGGACCGCTAGACAAGAATGATCACTCCTGTCCGGCGGCTGTTACTGGCTTATGTAGATACCACCACCAGAAATTGCGTCTTCAGCGGACGGCGTTTTCAGTGGATTGCGGAGATTGTCATTTTTGTTCCGAAAAAGTAGTTTATTTCAAAAGATAAATGTCTTATTTTTGTATGTTAATGAAGACCTTAGAAAACGGTTTGACTATATTTATTTTAAGTGAACATTGTATATAATTAATATTTTATAGTTGAATAGTATTATAATTAATTAGCTCTAATGGATTAAATTTCCCAAAGTGGAGAGTTTTGTTTATGTATATTCCTTAATTTTCAATGTAGTGATTAAACAAAATATTGCATGAAAAAAACTGCATTAAATCATAATGCGGTTGATAAAGAGTTAAGGGGACGGTTCAGGAGGTGACATTGAGATCTTCGGAGATCAGCAAAAGAGGTTGCGGGGCAGTAGCTTCAGCGATCAGACCTGCGAAAGACCGTGTGGTAGTGGAACCGGGATCTAGACGATATTTTCTCCAGCGGATAGGGCTATGGAGCAGTCGCACTCTACGAGGTGACTCACTAGAATTTAACTTGACTACACTTCGGTGGAGTATAAATATTATGAACCAGTTGCATACCTGTGAAAATAAGCCAAACATTTGACGATACTCATTTTAAAACGACTGGACTTGCGAAGGTATATCTTACAGACATAATAGACCGAGTGTAACCATGATACAGCTTACGCTTGTTCTTGCGGTGAAGCCATTTTGAAACGAGAATGTTTTAAAACGTAGACACGTACGTTTCACCATTTAGTTTGTATTTACTTTAATCTTTTCTTTATGGAACATGAGAAACCATTTTTGAAAATCTTCGTTTATTTTTATTTCATTTTTGAATGTGTAGTCATTCTTATCGGACATCTAGATTTTAATTTTAAAAATTACACGAATGGGAACAGTTTATTACAAATTTAGAATTGTTCATACCTTTGATAGTAAGTCTGTCACGGCATATTGATTCCATCGAATAAAGAAAATTGAAATTCCTTTTTTTTGCCCCCTAAGCTCTTTTGTTGTTATTGTGTTATGTAATAAACACGTATTTCTGCTTTATTTTACTTTCTAGTAACATATTACACGACGAAACAGAATTGATTGAAAAATAGGTTTATAGTTGTTTCGGTGAATATCGTATGAAATTGGCTCTTAAAGTATACCATCACAGATATGAATCCAATTCATTTTTCAATATTTTTTCAATATCCCTCAGGCTAAGTAATAAATAGAATCTCTAAGATGAAAAATAAGAATTAATGTATTATTTATTTCAAAAGGAAATATAATATTTATAAAAGACAGTGGAATTCTCACGGCAAATTTTGTTATTCCAGTTGATTTTTGTTTTTTTTTTTTTTTTTTTTTTTTTTGAGCATTCGATGAACTAAGCCTTTTTATTGAGTAAATGTTAACAGAAAATAATAGAAATAAGTATTTTTAATATTCTTGCTCGGAAATATTGTAGCGAATGGGGATATTTTTCTGCATTTTCACCAAAAATGCATTTTAAGAACTAACAATTGAAATAAATATGTATATTAACGAAGGAAAATACTATTTTAGTTTGTTTTTAGGTGTAAAATGAAAAAGATTATCTTATATATCCATTGAATAATTTCAATTTTATTATTCTTGAATTAAAAATAGAAAAAAATACAGATTCAAAGGAACATTAATAGAAAAATTAAATCAAACATTTTCTTGTTTATTACATTTTTATTATTTCATTGAAAGGAAGTTAAACTTCTTTTTTAAAACTCCTATTCCCTTTGCACTATAAAATTTAGCATCCATTTCTCATTCTAGAAACAAAAATTAAAGAATGTAAATGTAAAACCATCTGATTATTACAAGATTAAAAATAATTATTTAGTAACTTAAATCTTTTATCATAATATGCTAACGTAAAAATGAAAAAAAATTTGGAAAAGTATAAAATATTTATTTGGAAAATACTTTTTTTAACTTTATAAATTGTGTGTGTGAAGGTAAAAATGTCATATGGAATAAAATTGAAAGGAAAAAGAGAAGGGATATTTAAGTTGGGAAAGAGGCTGCAAATTAAGGCTTTAGGGAATACCAGCGAATAGGAAATTTTATTTTAATAATAATTAAAATTTTTATATTTTCATTCATATTTCATTTATACTTAATTTTTCATCTATACTTAATTTTTCATTCATATTTAATTTTTCATTCATATCTTATTTATATCTAATATTCCATTCATACTTCATTTATATTTTCATTCATATTAAACAAATCAAACCTTTTCGTGATCTTTTCTCAACACAAAAAGAAATACATTTTTTATAATTTACTTGGATATCCACTAGTTCATTTCATTGGTATGTTCTATTTAAATAGTAAAAAAATTTTTCAATGCATGATGCAACAGCATTTCCTAAAAAAATTCAATTTAAAAATACTTTGTAGTATGAGATTTCTTTTAAAAGTTAGAACAATTTTTTAAAGAATTTTAAAATTTGAACATCTTTACTTAATTTACTTATTAAAAATCGTATTTTACAACTAGAACAACAAGTACAAGTCTAGTATCAGCTTGATTTGAATGCAGTGCAGAACACGTTGTGACGGATCTATACGCGGATCTTCCTCTAATCCTCTTGGGAAATCTTTGGGCTATCAATATTCGCGTTTATTCACAACCAACCCTTTTGAAGAAGAAACCGTGATATGTAAATTAATTCTACTATATATAGTCTAAGTTTTCTAGATAGCGAGGAGAAGTAGGAGGTAGAACGTGATAAGATAGAATTCATTGTAAATGATCAAGTATTATAACTTTCCATAGAATATTTTAAATATTTCATAGAGGAAAGATTTAAAGTGAGGATTGATCACTATATAGTTGAATTAGCATTAGATTAAATGGGATAATAGATTTGATCCTATAAAGAGAAAGGATCGATATTAATAGTCTCCTAATAATTTGTGTATTTTGCTATTTATCTACATTTTGTTCTTATTGCGAATATTTCTTCAGGTTGAAAATTATTGAATTAGAGTTGCTATTTTTGTGAGATCAATAAACAGATTGTTTTTGATTACACAGCTCGTGTTTCTTCCCTTCCTCCCACATATCTAGGCGGGCAAGAAAGAGGGACAAATCCCTCACAACGGGCTTGCATTTATAATGTGACCAGCAGGAATTTAAATTATTAAAACAAGCAAAATTGATAAAATAATATAAAATTATGCTAAACGGGAAAAATATATAACACCGTTTTTAAAAGACAACCACATTAGGACAAATTCAATCCAAAAAATATGTCGGATAAAAATATTTTTGTTTTTGTTAACTTTTGAGATCTTTCATTATATGATAATAAAACGGGCCTAATAATTTATGGGTACTTAGTGTTTATCAATGCATTCACAAATTGTATACAATGAAACTACATGATGATGGAATTATACAGAGAAGAACACATTATTAGCATCAATTCTCATCATATTTTATTAAAATTCGTCCATAAACATAACAACTGACGTCTTTTCCTTTGGATTCTATAACATTATAAATTAATTAACTACGCGTGAATCTAAGTCAGGACATTAACATTGTCCTATAAATATTCACTAGCAACACCAGGAGGCATATTATTTTAATGCAAAACCCTCCTTTTATCCTGCCCAGTCAGCCATCATAATACGGACGAGCTTTTCCAGGATAATTAATAATGACAAGAGCTTTAGCAAGCGTCATGACCAAAATCCGTTCTCGGATAATTCTATCAAGTGTCCAGATCACAGCTAAATCAACAACATGAAGATGTCTGCCCAAATTCGTCATATATATCTTCAATCCCTTAAACGTGACCCAGCTTGAAGTATAGAGTCTTAACCAGTGAAATTTGTGAGAGGAGTCTTAGAGGAAATGGTTTCTGAGAGATATGTGAATTGAGACATACTAGTTGTAAAAGTAAATATTTACTCTCGAGAGCAAGTAATGGATTAATTTAGAAACAGATAGCGTGTTATGATGGGGGAATTAGTTGCAGTTGATTTCACTATTACGAGCGGTTGTACAACTTCGATAATTTATGCAAAAGTTGAAGAATGCCTATAATTTTATTTTTGGATTATAAAAGGTCGAAATACAAGCACCCTCACCTCTTTTTTTTTTGCACGATTTTGAAATAACACGGTACATAAATTTAAAGAATTCTTATTTTTTACACACATTTTTGTTCTAGCACGAATTTGAAAAAAAAAATTTGGACATTTGTGTTTTTTGAGAACGATTTGATCAAATTTATGATAGTTTATGATAACAAGTAATATAAAAAAATGTTTTTTAAAATCGATTCCTATACTTAGGTCAAATAAGAAAAAATTATTTTAGTTACTTTTTATTAAGTAGTTACAATTAATATATATATGTATATACATATGGCAGAATCACAATATTAAGTGACAAAATAGAAAGGGATTTTCCTTTCTATATAGGGTGTTGGACTATTTTTTTTATTTGTTTGTTACTATTTATTCATTTATTAAATTTAATTATTTTTATAAAATAGTATGGTAAAAAAGGAATCACACATTCTCAGAAATTTGGCCATCCCATGTGGGATACGAACCCATGACCATTGGATTAGACGTCCAACACGTTATCCATTGCGCTACTGGGATACAATGAACGATTTTCCTTTCTATATGTGCTGTTGGACTACTATTTTTGCTTGTTACTATTTATTCATTTTTTAATTTAATTAATGAATTAAAATATTTGAAAACAATGTATTAACATCATGTGCCATCCACTACAAGTTTTAAAAAATTGTATTTGAACTTGAATGGATGAATAGAAAGTATTTTCTTAACGATTGAACATTTGAAAAAGATATATATATATATATAGGGGCACCCTGTCTGAGGGTGCCCAGTATCAAAATTAAATCGGGGCCCTTTTTTAGATATGTGTGAGTCCTGTTAATGTGACTGTAGTTACAAATCTTGGGGCCCTGTAGATAGGGGGCCCCATATCATGGATACGACAGATACGGCAGTAGCTACACCCTTGATATATATATATATATATAGGGAGAGAATGAACTAATAGAACGAATTGAATAAAGAAGTCTTTAAAGACGAAGTCGAAAAGGTGAAGTTCAATTATTAACAACTGATTTAAATCACGAGGTTTTGAAATTTGCTGCCAGTACGTCAACGTAATCATAAGTTTTATGTAGCAGGATATCAAAATTTATATAATTAACTTGAGAAACCATCAAAAACAGCCACTGATAATTGACTTTATAACAACAAAAAAATTAACTATCTATGATGTCGTTCTCGGCGCTTGATCGAGGTTTGAAATCACCAACAGCCCTCTTTTAGCTGAAAAGTGCAACGTTGATAAAACTTCACTCTCTCGCTTGCATCCTTTTATTTTTCATTCTTAATTTTAGAGGATATTATAACAAAATAATTTTAACGTATTTTTATATTTGAATGGAAATAGAATAATAATAAGTATGCATTTTTGGTACAAAAAAATAAAAACGTTGTTAATTTTTAAATTTTCATGCAAAAAAAAAAAAAAAAAAAAAAGGGATTCTACTATATTATGACAATTTGTATACTCGCCCACTAAATGTAAAACTGAGTGTTCGTTTTTTTCCATTTAAGGAATCCGACTACGTTCGGAACCATGATTTTAAGAAATGCGCATAGATGGAAAATGTTAGTGATATTTAGTGCCACGTAGATTAGAATACATGTATACAATTGTTTTAAGGATATTTTGACAAAAATAATTATTTAAATACAATATTTCGGCAAAAAATTAACTTAGAATATTCTTTTTTCAAAATGTTCTCCTTTTATAAAAAATGCTTCTAAAATAATAATAATTCGCGCTTATTTAAAGTAAAGACTTCTCCAGAGAGTCTGAACTAGGATTTTTGAAAAATTCACATTTTTTTAAAGTTATCACCAATTGAAATAATTTTCGGTGTTTTTTTCTTAAAATTGCTCTTCTCTGTTGTTGTAAGATATGGATAAATCCACTTCTAAGTTATATATTTCAAAAACTCTAGTTGAGCCTCTGTACAGAGATATGAGCTATATACAGGCAAAAAATCATTATAACAGAAGCATTTTTCACAAAAGGAGAATATTTTGAAAATGGGTTATTCAATGTTCTTTTTTTGTCAAAATATTGTACTTAAATAATTTTTTATTGTAATAATATTCTTAAAACAATTTTATACACATTTTCTAATCTAAGGGACTTAAAATATCATAAATATTATCCATTTATATGCTTTTGCAGTTTTTTTTTTACCTTAAGGTCATATTAGTATTAGTATCATAGACTTTGGAACAAGATATAAGTAAAAGTTTCAAGGTTCGTTTCAGTAAACTGTTAATCATTTGTTAAGCTGCTTGTGGAATAAATTCTAGTTTAAAAAAACCTAAAAAACACATTTTTAATGAACTAAAAAGAAAAAATAATAATTCTTAGTATTAGAATAGAATGATTAAGGAGAAAATTAATGTTATTGTGGTAAAAGCGTTGGGTGCTCGGTATGAGTTGTTATAACTTCTTACTAGTTCTATTCCAAAATGCAGAGTTAGTGTAAAAATTCAGTACAAAGCACACACCTCACGTTTTACCCCAGTGAAATTAATTTTCTCGTTTAATCATTTTATTCCTATATTAAGAATTATATTTTACTTTTTTGTTCTTTAAACTGTAGAAGCATGTTTTTAGATTTTTAAACTATAATTTATTTTTAATTTTTTAGTTCGATCTACAGTAAAATCCTATATTTTTAGTTTTTTAAACTATCATTTATTCATTGATGAATTACTCTTTTTTGTTTGTTGTGTTTATATTAAACATGACCGTTTTCACTTTAGGGTTGTAACTTAATCTCTTAGTCGCCAACTCAGGAAATGTGATCTGGAATTAGTCACCAAATCTCTGAAAGGAGAAATCGTTAATCCGGATGATCCTGATAAGGACAATGTATCAAAATTATTAATTTCTTGTATTGTCCTCGTTCCTTAAAACGTGTGCGAAATTTCGAGAATTGATCTGACCTTTTAAAGTGGGTAAAAATAGATTTCAAAGATTCTGTTAGATACAGGTGTATTTAATAAAAGCCTGTTAAAAAACACGAAGCTTACAAAATGTTTCAATAAATTAAATGCCATTCAGTGAATAATAAAAGCTGTTAAATTCATATCATAAAGTTATGCTCAGTACTTTTTAAGTAAGCACGCTTTGGAATTCCAGTTTAGAATGCCCTCAGTGAAAATTCTACGGATGAAAATGAATTGTTTGAACATGTTAAGATCAGTGGTTGTTTTCAAAAGCAAGAATATTAAGAGATCTAGGAGAACTTATGTACTGAAAACACCAGCGATGACAAGTAGTTGACACTATAGTTGATGACGTAAGCCTTAACAAAAAATAACTTGGAAAGCAATGGAAAAGATGAAGAACCAGGAGAAAAGTTTAACAAAAAAGCTATACTTGTACCTTAAATACATCTTTCATCAAAAAAATGTCATAATTGCTCTGGTGACAGCGAAAGACTTAAGATTATCAATGAATTAATATCCATGTGAAAAAAAATGCTTGCAATTCTCAGATTTTTAAGCAAACCAGTGTAATGGATCTTTTTCAATAAATATATTTTTTATAACAATTAAATTTTTAAATTAAGAATTTTTCTCTATCATTTTTCAAATTAATACCTTTGACTATGTTACTTATATCATTAATTTAAAGCTTCTTGATGTACTCTAAATTTCTACTTAAATTAAAATGTTTAGAAAGTTATCCCTGAAAATGGAATATCCTTATTGAAGGTATATGAATGTCTGTGGAAGAATATCTGCATATTATACATGAAATAATGCATAGGATTTCCCGCGAAAAATTTTCATTTTAATTAGAGATGATCAAGTGGTCGTAGCCGAAAACCTAAAGAAGCTTGTTCGTGATCACATAATTTATTTCAGCATACTTCTCGTACAGTGCCAAATTACAAGAGAGGGAATCATTCAAATAACAAGTTTTCATATACAGGGAAGAACAGGGAAAAACGCATTTTAAAAAATACAGAATAAAAAATACATACGTATTATAGAAATGACATCATTGTTTAGGGAATATTAATCCCGGTAAGAAAGGCGCATAAAAACAATTAATGGTCTTGTATTTCTTGAAATCACCAATAAATCTATCAAAAATTCAAGATCTTAAGAACCAGTAATAAATATACCAACATGTTTTTAACGCTTTAGAAAAAGATAAATTGAGACGCTTTTCGAAATAGGGTATTAGGATTTATGAATTAGATACTATAAATAAAGGAAATTTGAATTATGAGTAGATATCAATTTAAGTTATTACATCAGTCGAACCTCTAAATAACGAAGCCGCTAAATAATGAAAAAAAGTTGTGTTAAAAAAGATAGTAACTGAGGTTATTTCAAGATATACTTTAAAAATAGAGAGAAAAAAATTGAACACTATAATAAAAATTCATTTTATAGAAAATGCACTTCGCTATTGGGAGGTTATTCTACAAAGAAAATCGTGAAATGTTCTTGGTTCTAGGGAAAAGTTCGTTATATAGAAAAATTCGCAATATGGAGGTTCGACTGTATATATGCATATAAACTTAACTCAATGGCGCAACAGCACATAAGGGGCAAATCTATTGTGTCCAACTCAGTTTACGAGGTATCTGGCTCTAAGGTGCATTAGAAGATGTTCCGGGTAGGTGGCTAGTATGACGCGAAACCCTCATTGTTTAGTTCCCAAGAAAGCTTGGTCTTAATTTTATCGACCCATGAAGGGATTAAAGCTTATAGTCGACATTGCCCAGCTTGGGGTTTGAACCCCGGATCTGTGGCGTGGAAGCTCGACACGCTACCACTCGACACTGGGCTTAGTGCATATATACATATATAACACCTCACCACAAATGGTATTATTTATTTTAGGAACTAGATTGTTTATCATTTGACCCAGAATGGAAGTATATGTGGAGGATGTTGGAGTCATGAGGAATCATCTTGTTGCAAGTAATCCATTTATTTGAACATTTAAACATTTATACGATTAACAACAAACACGCTTATGTAACTAATGGTGATTAACATATTCACATAGGAGTTACAATAAGCAGCAGCAACGTTTCACATATTGAAGACAAAGAGAAACAGACAAAGAGAAAGAATTTGAGAGACCTGGCTATTTATATGACGCAGGAACAGGAAGTCTGGCAATCCTCGTGACTTTCGTGAAAGGATTGATTGGTGGAAAGATATTGTTCGATAGATTCTGATGTAATCTTACTTAAAAAAATGCAAGCTGTTATTTTTACTGCTTTATGACATACGATTAAGATTAAATCCCGTCAAGTGTTCAAGCAATAATTTTTTATGTGCGAGTCCTGAAGGCCAGGACCATTACAAATTAAAATGTTATTCAGGATGAAATTAAGAGGAATTATTACATTTTTATAAACACAGACAAAATATTTTATAAGTTCAATCCATCTTTGTTTTATAATTTTACTATGATCTAACAATAGAACAAGTCGCCAAAAATGTGTGTGATGCCTACGATGCTGTATTAGTAATTCTTTAAGGCCAGTTTTGACACA